CAGTAGTAACCATGGAGGAAAAAACCACCCCTCCCCCTACAGGCCATGGAAATCACGAGCATAGGTACCCTATGTGGTACGCATTTATGGAATTATACCAAACAAAGAAAGAGATTTCCGCCCGGTTCGTAAGCCACTTACCAGTAACTATCCTTGTGTCGCCCTGCTCGATAATCCGCTGCCAGCCCCCTTGTTCAACCGTCTGCAAAGATTGGGTGTAAACTGATGGGCTGGCTGGGTATCTTAAATAGCCTAGGGGTGCGTGGATAGTTACCAGCCGGGGAAGTACGATTTGGATTAGGAGACTAAGACTCCCACTTTTATTAAGAATCAGTTGATTGCGTATCCCTCCGCCTTTCACGACACTCTGGCGGTTAGGAGCAACGCGCAAAAGATGCGGAGATCCCTTGCCCTTGATTTTGTTGGGAGTCCAACTCCAATACGGTCTCTCTAACTTGGAACGTCGCCAGCACGAACTTAGCCCGGAGTTCCTTACCGAAAACGAGTCGGCCGGGACAACTTTCCGATCACCAACATCACTAATTGACCTAGGCTTCGCCCCATTACGGGATCTGAATCCTGGTATCACATAATCAGATAGCCCACTCGGAGCTACTTCAGCTTCAATAATCTCACCGGCAGGACAACTTGCTTCTTCGTCCCCATCGAGATCGTCAGCCGGTGGGAGTTTGAAACGCCACGCCTGAATAACGAATGTCTTCGCCCCATTCTGGGTTCGGAGATCATTCCGGTCAGGGTCTTCCGCCGAATTAACTTGCCCAATTTGTTTATTCCATTTCGAATCCGGATCTGTCCCTGCTACCTCCTCCATTTCTTCAGGGGAAGGGAGGCGGAAACACCACCCTGTCGATTTGCAGAGCCGACGCCGCTTAGTTGCCAAATCGGGATGGAGAGAGTCCTGAGCAGGACACCTTTTCCGTTTTAGAAAGCCACGATCTCTATCCCCTTTTCTTTTCCAGGATTTCGACCGTTCTTTTGTAAAGGGTTGACGATGATGAACCGCCGGTGTCTCAATCCGGGGATTGGTCAGCAGCCCATGGCCTTGCGTTGCAAGGAGACGCTCCAGCCATCGAACCTCTTGTACGCTCTGATTAACAAGAGCTGCAGCCAAGATACACCGTCGACCAAGCACAATTGAGGAGAGAGGAGAGAGCTCCTCCACCCATTTTTTTTTTAATTTAACTAATATACGGTATAGTCCAGTCCCATTGCAATACTAAAAATGCTTCTAGTAGTGAAATCTTGTTCCAACACTGATAAGTTAATAACCAACGAATCTATTGGAGTTATAGATCATTATTTTCCTGGAGAATCGTTGGAACAAACTAAGGTGTACCATATGATCAATCGTTTGTCATAAGTGATCAACCTTTTCCCAAATTACGTTGATTTTTGTCCAGAAGACTACTATATGTTGTTGCTGGATAAAAAAATTGGCGCCCAATTCTTATGACGTTTAAAGACCCTAAGAAATATTTAATAACTTTGTTTGCAATATTAATCATCAATCCGCTGTAGCAAATTGGCAAATTTCTACTTCCTTGAAATCCGGGTTCAACTCCCGGCAGCGGAATCTTTTTTTTTTTTTGGGTGAGCTGTAGGTTTCTTCATTGCAGTCGAGTGTAGCACTCTTGACAAAACATGGGTAATAAATCTGTTACAGAAATAGAGACATTAGCCTTGTTTTTCAAGCGTGAAATTTTAGGCCCAGCGCTTCCATCACGCATCATTTCAGTGACATTTTTTTTAATCGAACCAACCAAAATTTATATGTATCATGCATGTACTTATGGTACTTCTTGAAATCAATATGAAACTCCATTGTCTATTTGTGTAGTTTAATAGTTTTCATCTCTTTCGATAGTAAATCATTACCGTGTTTGTGTCTCTCCCCATGCCCCATTGTCTAAAAACAAATTCATATGCATCAAAAGACCACAAACAGAGAAGAGGTCGACTGCTAAGATTCTTTGATTGACCTTATGATGAAAATTTCGATTATTACAGTGTTTATGTTTCTCTCCTTGCCCCATGGTCATCCTTTTGATTTACTAGTATTTCACGGACAAATACTTTGGTGTTTTGACATTTTTCCTTCTTCCCCAGGCTCCAAAATTACAAAAATTTGTTTACACAACTTTAGAGTGATAAACCTATAATGTATAGATCATTTATAGGGCTTTTGTTCCATTTAACTCGGGTTAAATGATAGCAAAGTCCTTATTTAAACTGAAACCTTTCTAGTGGTGGAATCTTGTTCCAATTCTAATGACATAACAGTTAACTAGTCGACCGTTCAATTGTAGCGGCAACCATTATTTTCTTTCTAATAGTGGAGTCCCATTGCAATACTGAAAATGCTTTTAGTGGCGATCTTGTTCCAACACTGATAAGGTAATGACCAATCAATCTATTGAAGTTATAGATCATTATTTTCCTTGTAATGATGGAGAATCGTTGGAACAAACAAAGCAAGGGTGTAAGTTTGATCATAAAAACCAACTGACTCGTCCCGACGTCAGTTTAGGGTTGGATCAATTTTTGACCTTATAGGACAACTTAGAAACGGGTCACTTTTTGACCCTGTGGCACTTAGCAACAACAAATTTCTCATATCACATTGGACCTCTTGTAAAGTTTTAAAAGTTTAGGTACTAAATTGTAATCATAAAATTTTTTGGGTACCAAAATATAATTTTACCATCAAAATTTATGGATTTATTTGTAAAAAACAAAATTTAGGTACTAAATTGAAAGAAAAAAATAAATTTGGGTACCAAATTATAATTTTAAAAAAATAGTGTCGACCCATTGGCCCAGTCCTTCCAGACCCGTCATAACCCTTGAGGATCAAACAGAATCAAGAAGAAGATAGTGACGAGACGGGTTAATTATATATCTTGACTTTTAAAAAACAGGTCAAACAAGGTCAGCAACAGGATCAGAGACTAACACAAACAGTTCATAACAATTTTCAACCCTAAAGCAAAATATACCATATGATCAATCGTTTGTCATAACTCATAAGTGATCAACCCTTTTCCAAATTACGTTGATTTTTGTCCAGAAGACTGCTATATGTTGTTGCTGGATAAAAAGAATTGGCACCCAATTCTTGATGACGTTTAAAGGCCCTATGAAATGACTGTTTAATAACTTTGTTTGCATTATTAATCACTAATCCGCTGTAGCAAATTGGCAAATTTCTACTTCCTTGAAATCCGGGTTCAAATCCCGGCAGCGGAATTTTTTTTACCCCTTCTTCGCCGTAGGTTACTTCATCACAGTCGAGTATACTACTAATTAAAAATACTTAAAATTGAGAAATTTGTACGGTACACAATTGCCTACATTTTTGTTGGTCATGCCGCCATAGTCATGTTTTATTCCTCACATTGCAGGCTTGAGAAACCATTGGTTCGGTTAATCGAACCAAAAAGCCATCGGGAAAAAAAAAATTGAATCAATGAATTTTTTAAACCAAAACCTTTAAAAGCTTATTTGTTTTTCGGTTGACAATTGGGTATTTCGCAAGGAGGAGAATCATATTATTCTCTAATTATACACACTCTCCAAGTTCACCTACACCGTGCAACAGTAACTTGAAAATCATAGTAAATGGAGTGAGTAATGTAACATGATAAACATAAAATTCAAATTGCACTCAATGGCTTAGTAACTCGGCGTATAATCGATAACTCGTCTTTGCATTACGATCCTACCTTAAGAGGTAAACTCCGAGAGTTTATATAGTCTTTCAGTCTTCTTTTTTATATCAATCATTCAATCTTCTGATGGTGCAGGTTTCTTCAGGATCAATGCAATAAAAAATTATAATTTTAAATAAATAAAGGTTCATATTGAAAGTAACACTCAACAAACTAATAGTATTAATTAATAGGGCTGACTATTTGGTCCCGGACTGTTTGGTTTTACCCGAAACCGGACCGTATAACCCGGACCGGGACAGGACTCGGACCGGATAGCAAACAATCAAATCTCATATTCGGGCTTAGATTTGAGGTAAAAAAAACCCGGATAAGAGACCCCCAACACCTAAAATCAAGATCAAATTGGGACCGGACCGGGTCAAGACCGGACCGAATCAAGACCGGACTGTATCCAATCCAATCTTTAGTCCTTATATTCCCGAAAAGACCGGACTGGGACCGGATCAATTTGGTCCAATTTAACCGGACCGGACCGTATAGCCACCCCTATTAATTAACAAGGCATATCACGAAGAATATCAAATATATAAATGGTTAATAAGTAAAAATAATTTATCATATACACTCGAAATTCACAATTTGCATTCCCGAAGGAAAACTGCTCCCGGCCAAGTACACTACTGAAGCTGCGAATATCTTTGATAGGTTGGTTTGCTTGATTTGATAGGTTAGTTAACATCTGGGTTAGTCTACTAATTTTCCCTTAATTCCCTTGTTGATTTGACAGGCTATGAGATAGGTCGACTTTCCCCGTTGTTTGAAGTGTACTTAATTTATCAGTGGTTGAACTGACTCACTCCATATTAATTAGTTTATCACCTGCTCCAAAACCAAATGCTCGCAGTGACAACCTTTTGGAGGTGTAAGGACGGACCACGACGTCTAGTTTAGGTTTGGCTATATCAAGTAACTTCTGTTCTACACAATTCTTCCACCCAAGGAGATTAGCTACACGTATCCAATATTCTTGAATTAATGGTTTGACGTAAAACCTCATAAATTGAGTTGTACGTCTTTAGGATGGCCATGCACTATATAAACGTACGTACGTGCATTGGGAATGCTCATTACAAAAAACCGAAGTTGAGAAAACCCTTTTGAATCTCTCCGTTGCATCGTTACTAAACTAAATTCCTATTAATCTTCCTCTCCACAACACCAAATTAGAATCACCCGCGCCATTACTAATCAGCTCCAGTTATTGTTCGTTGCTCTGAAGCTGCTTTGTAGACAGTAATTACGAGGAAGATGTCCAACAGATCAGTCGACGAAGATGGCCGCCCGATGCGAACTGGTAAGTAATTAACCAACTTAATGTCTGTTCTAGCCGATGGTAAACTCCTTACCGACGGTTGGAGAATCTGTCGGCGTTAGTGTCGGTTTGGAAACCGCCGGTAAATTAAAGTAATTGTCGGCAAATTCAACGATTGAATAACTAAAAGTAACCGGCACAAAAGAAAATTAAACCGGCGGTTTATGAACCCACCTAGCTGCTATTATGTATCATGATTAGCTAGTTTAACTTTCTCACTTAGCTAAAGCTTACATAATCAGCTCTAGGTTAATACAACTGTTTTGATTAATTACTTATTTTCCCAACCAATATTTGAACATCATTTATTCACTTGTGTATGCAATGCAGGGACGTGGGTGACGGCGAGCGCCCACATCATCACGGCGGTGATTGGGTCAGGGGTTCTGTCCCTGGCTGGGGCAATCGCCCAGCTGGGTTGGGTGGCCGGACCGGCGGTTCTCGTCATCTTTTCTCTCATCATCCTTTTCACCTCCACCCTGCTCGCCGACGCCTACCGCCATCCGGACCCGGTCACGGGCCAGCGCAACTACACCTACATGGACGCGGTCCGGGCCCATTTAGGTGGGCTCAGGGTCCGGCTTTGCGGCGTGGCCCAGTACACGAACCTGGTCGGCGTCACTGTCGGTTACACCATCACGGCGTCCATCAGCATGGCGTAAGTTATCAAATTTTTAGCTTGTTTAAGTTACGCCAACTTTCATTTCCTTACTGAACTAATTAAATTTATATGTAACCATATGCACGCAGGACGGTTCGAAAATGGAGTTGTTTCCACGAGGAGGACGAGTGCCACGTGTCCACGACGCCGTACATGATCATCTTTGGCGGCATCCAGCTCATCCTTTGCCAGGTGCCCAACTTCCACAAGTTGTCGTGGCTCTCCATCCTAGCCGCCGTCATGTCCTTCGCCTATTCCTTTATTGGCTTGGGTCTCTCCATAGCCAAACTTGTTACAGGTTAGAAGAGATACATTTATGAATATTGAATAGATAACCGGAAAGAAATTAAGACATTCACAATAATATGTTACCTAAAAATGAACTTAATTGAATGAAGGAGTTGAGGCGAAAACGACGACGTCGGCGACGGTGTCGGAGGTACAGAGATTCTGGAGGATTTGCCAAGCGATCGGCGACATTGCCTTCGCGTATGCCTACTCCACGGTCCTGATCGAGATCCAGGTAATTAAGTAGATAGCTAGTCAATATTCGTTTTCATATTAGTGAAGGATTAATTATTAATCAATAAAAGACCTGGATGCATGCAGGACACCCTGAAATCGAGCCCCGCGGAGAACAAAGCAATGAAACGGGCGAGTTTTGTGGGCGTCTCGACTACAACCGTTTTCTACCTCCTCTGAGGCTGTGTGGGCTACGCGGCGTTCGGAGAACACGCACCGGGGGATTTACTCTCCGGGTCTGGATTCGATCATCCGGTGTGGCTACTCAACGTAGCCAACGTCTGCGTGGCTATCCACCTCATCGGCGCGTACCAAGTTAGTTCAATTTAATTTAATTAAATTAAAGCCCTCAATTAATTGCCTTATGTATAGGTATCCATTTAATTAATAATATATATATATATATATATATCTGTGTGTGTGTGTGTGTGTGGGGCTGCAGGTGTTTGCGCAGCCGATTTTCAGCTTGGTGGAGTCCAGCTGTCGTCAGAGGTGGCCAGAGGTCAAGTTCGTGACGACGGACCACCAGATCACCATTCCGTTTCTGGGTGGCACGAGCTTCCAGGTCAACTGGTTCAGAGTGGTTTGGAGGTCCGCTTTTGTGGCAGTGACGACCGTCTTGGCCACCGTCCTCCCGTTCTTCAACGTCTTGCTGGCCCTCATCGGTGCAGCTTCTTTTTGGCCTTTGACCGTCTACTTTCCGATCGAGATGTATATTGCTCGAGCGAAAGTTTCCAAGTTCTCTTTCTCCCGGATGTGCCTGCAAGCCTTGAGCTTGATCTGTCTGCTGGTTTCACTCGTCGCAGCAGCTGGATCAGTCGCGGGTCTGATACAATCTCTCAAAACATACCGCCCTTTTAAGAATGAAGTATAATTAATTAACAAGTACCACCTTCATTTTGCTTACAATATATATATTTGTACATTTTGATTCTCAGAAGCTACTTAAGTACATAGTTAAGTACGGCTGAAAATGATGTTGATTCGAATATAGAACACGAGATAGAGTTAACCAATTATGTTGGAATTGATAAAAGATGCAACAAATATATACACGGAAAAGCAATGATGTTAATAATTAGCCTAACTCGTTACATTGGAAAAGTAGGAGCACTGACCAACATCCAATAGCTACAGTGCTTCTGGTTTGCACTAAAATGCCTTAAGTAGTTTACAGGGTAAATAAACATCTCGGGAAGAGAAATTAAGAAAAGTTGACTGGTCATTCTCTAGCGTTCTGCGACATTTCTCTAAGAACGGTCAATTCAATCGCTTAGCTCCACAAATATTCTCATATATCATTGATTAACAAGTACCAGCCTTTTAAGAATGAAATATAATTGATTAACGAGTATACCGCTTTAATTATGCTCCTTTGCTACGTACTAATTTGCACATTCTGATCCCTAGAAGCTAAGTGCGTACTGCGTAGTTAAGTTTGACCGGTGGTAGTACATAGCTATCTATATGTAGTCAAGCAAAATGATGTTGATGTCAATATTAAACATGAGAGCTAATCACTTATATATGTTGGAATTTATATAAACATATCGGGCAACGAATGTGAGATCCGACATGTCACAAGGAGCAGCCCAATTGGTGCAATCATGTATGCAGTATGCATGAGAGCCCAAACCAAGAGGCTTAAAAAAGTATACCTACTAACTTAATTACTATGAGTCACGTGTTGGTTTGTAACAGGACTACTAAACTTGGGGCTAAGATAAGGATTCCCTTAGTCACATAACTATGTAAATTTCAGCACTTCCACTTTATTAAAATCAAAAGATTTAATGAAGGACAATATAGTAATTGCAATATTATTTTATAATTTTTAATTATTATGAAGTAAATAAAAGACCTCTCATTGCGTTTCGTCAATGTCTGACCGTCCCTTCCGGCCAGACAATTTTTCGGCGCTCACTAGCTTTGCCTTTACTTTTCTGGGAACATTTGCAATTTCCCCACTTCAGCTGAGAGAAAGAGAGATTTTTTCCGACGACTAGAGGTGGCTGTTTCGGCGACCGAAGACTGCGAATATGGATTTTTTGGCGACAGTGCTGATTGTGATGTTTGTCGATCTATTTTATAATGTTCATAAGTTCGGTCTGTGATGTTTATGTAATTTCGGTCTGTATTGTTTATGATTCTTATTTGTCATGTTTGTCGATTATATTTGTAATGTTTATATTACGATTTTGTATATATTGTAATTTGTAATGTTTGTTTGTGGAGTTTGTACACTTTTATGTTATGATTTGTATACTTTGTATTCATTGGTTTGTAATACAAGTTTATCGATTTGTATTGTAAGTAGTGATATTCTGTACGGTTAGTATGCTTTGTACTGTTTGTCGATTTCTTTTGTAAGTTTTTTCATTTTTGTCCACCATGTTCGTAATGTCTTTATTTTCCAAAAAACATCATGGTTGACTTTTGGACGGGACTCGCTATATAGAGATGGAGCCTCCAAAGTCAACCCGACTGTTTTTCAATTTTGTATGGTTTGTCGGTCTAGTTTGTCATTTTTGTCCATCATGTTCGTAATGTTTCTATGTCTAAAAAACAACCGGGCTGGCTTTGAGAGGGAACCCCTCTATAGGGATGGAGCATCCAAAGTCAACCTGGTTATTTTTTCATATTTTACGGTTTATATTGTTTGTCGGTCTAGTTTGTATTGATTGTATAGTTCGTATGTGTGTATTGTTTATCGGTCTAGTTTGTATAGTTCGTATGTTTGTAAATATGTTTGTATGTTTTGTCGCTCTAGTTTGTAATGTTTGTATGGTTTGTAAGTCCGGTTTGTATTAGCCAATGCTTTATCATTTTGATTCTTAGTCATTGTATGCTTTAGTTTCTATGCTATTGTAGTCATGGTTTATAACACATATTAGGTTGTTAGGAAACTCTTATGTGATATGCTTCTATCCTATACGTGTATGTTTAGTTGGTGACGTGATTATGCATGCTTGTGTTTGATTGATGCTTGATCTTAGATCATCGATGATATAGACAATCTTTATGGCTCGTAGCATCGATGCATCTTTGATTATGTAACCTTATCCCTTCCACTATAACCATCCTAATCAAGCTTTTGCCACATACAAAAAGAATTATGACTAGCTAATATAATGCCTGCTTTCGCTTCATGCCACTACACTAATTAATCAAACAAGAAAGTATAGAGATAACATTAACTATTTAGGTCCTCTACAAACCATAGTAATGGTCTATAGCAATGATGATTAAGGTATCAAGCATTGGTATCACATAGGTATGCATAGTCACGTCCAACTAACTATACACAATGCAGTCAAAAGCGCGATTCTACCTAGAAGCGGTTGGGTGACCTAGAAGCGTAAAATCGTAAGCTTTTAAGTTTTAAAACGTAGATTTTGACTACATTTGTAAGGAAAAATCACGATTCTACGTAGAAACATTTTGGTGACCCAAAGAGGTAAAAGCGTAAGTTTTTAAGTTTTAAAGCGCGATTTTGACTGCATTGACTATACATACACGAGGCAAAGATGTATCGAGTTCTTATGCAACCTATGATGATATCATAACCAATACCATACATAATACCATGTAATAAATGATATATGCATAGAATGGTTAGGGCATGTTAAAGCTAAGATATTTTAACGACAAAGCATCAAATGGATAAGGCATCCAATTATATAAGCATATAATAACATAAATAAACAATGACCAAAGCATCTCATTAAATCAAAGACAGTATATGCATTAAGCATCATAGAATTCTCATTCCTAAACAACAAAAGACTTAGCTGGCTATAGAGGAGATCAATTAGACCACCATTGAAGATGAAGGCATATCCATAAAGCTCTAACAGAATGTCTCCTCTCCTATGGTTGCTAACTCGAACTCACTAGGACAGAGTGTGTATAAAAGTGTGTAAAAACTAAAGCTTAAGTCTCTACTTATAGTACATGGAAGAAGGGGTATTCTAGAAATTTCCTCCTAAAAGTCGGCCAAAGAGTCCCTATACCATTGAGATGTGGATTTCTTGACTTGGGATCCAAGTATAGCATATTCCATAATCTTCCATGGACCCACACCAGCGCGACCCAACAACGATCACCACCGCCATGACATTCCTTCCTCCAAATGGGATGATTTTTAGTGGACGGCTCCATAATGGGCTTATTGAGCCGCTCCAATTCCAACTCGTTTTGCTTCTTTTGACCCTTAAGCTTTCATAAATGTGGTTCTCTAGGCCATCAAATGAGCATCTGAAGTCCAAATTAATCCATCTATGTTTGAGCCTATGAGATTGTATTCTCGTCTTCCTTCTGATCCATATGGTGATCCATACTCATATAGACTATACATCCCTAAAATGCACAATAGAACACCAAATGAAGTAAAATACCACAAAAAGACACTCAATCTCTATCTTAGGCACATTGATAGAAGGGAAATGTATTAAATAATATAGGATTTATCAACATTATAATTTGAATCTCATCAACTAGTAAATGCATGTTTTCACTTCATGCCACTAACTAATCAATTAAAAATAAGAAAGTAAGGATAGCCTGGTATAGGTTGGTAACTGATGGTAGATGATGATAGATGACGATTAGTATATTTCTACTATCATGTATGCAACTATTTCACAATATGGTATATTCATACCACAATGATACACTTCCATACCACCATGGTATACTCTTATATACTATGAAGCTTATTATGACCAAAGTATAGACTAGTAATATAAAGTCTCAAAATTTTTGTTCTAAAATATATCAAAGTTGATGTTACTTTTAAGAGCATGATTAATCGGAATTTTTGACAAAATATTTTTTGAATTCTAACTTAAAACAAAAGAAGTATATCCCATTAACTTCATTTGATCAACATGGTATAATCTTATATACTATGAAACATTATCACCATAGTATAGACTAGTAATATAAGTCTCAAAAATTTTGTTCTAAAATATTATCAAAGTTGATGTTATTTTGAAGAGCACGATTAATTTTGATTTTTTACAATTTATTTTTTGAATTCTAACTTAAAAAAAAAAGAAGTATATCCCATTAAATTTATTTGATCACATGCAACCAAGTTTTGTTACGAACAAATCTTCTAACAGTTACATCTTGACTACACTATTAACATGCTAGGAAGATATTAGAAGATGAAGAAAATAATTATGAAGTTTCCTTATCTTCCTTATTTTCACATTAATATCTTGCCTTATTTTTTTTTTCATTCTCAATCTTTTTCGTCTTGTCATAATTCTCCATCTTTTCTATAAGCAATTATGATGTTGCCTTATGTCCTTCTACTTTTTATGCCAATATATCTATTGAGGCGTTGAATAGTACAAGAAATATTTCTTATAAATAGCAAAGCCACATACAAAGGCTATCATACAACTGAGGACACAAAACTAAAATATAAAATTATATCCTTCCTGTTAAGTTTTTCAGAGATATGGCCAAGTCTTTTACACTATGCTTCTTGTTCTTCCTTCTGTTCATCGTCTCATTAGGTAAACTTCTTACAATAATTATGAAAAAAATAGGTGTATGTACCATAAAAAATATTATAATAGTCATAGGACAATGATAAATATTTTCTGGTTGTTCTTCTTGTCCTCTCTTTGCATGTCGCTCTAATTCATTTCAAAAATTTTATTTTAAATCAATCATGTATATGGATGCATCTGATTTATTAGTTTATTTTCTTATGTACAATTAATTATACTCGTGTGCTGATTGAAAAGGTGGACACAAAATGGTAGCGGAAGCTAAAAACTGCTTAAAATGACTTGGGATTGCACCACCGTGGAGCGCTGCTGGGATGATTGCAAGAGCCGCTACGGCGGAAAAGGACTTTGTGACCTTATACCTACTCCTTTTGTTCTTAAGCAATGCCTTTGCTCTTATAAATGTTGAGAGCGAAGAAAAAATATAAATTACGAATAAATCTTACTAATATGAAATGTCATAATTACATCTACAAAATCCTATAAGCGAATGCCAAAATACAGCATTTGCCACGTCACCCTTTGCTGAAAGCACCGCACACTTCAGAGGGGTTTTATTGTCATTCTCTAGATCTTCTTCTCTTCCGTCTTTCTCTTCTGATCCGTCCCCAGTCGCTGAAGGGTTTTTTTTTTTATTGTATGGAAGGCGCTGAAGGTATTTTGGCTGCTCAATGATCCAGGCTCCTCGGTGGATTCAACACCGCCCTTCCAATCGGAAACCAAAATCTCCAACCATCCACCGGAATGCAAAGAACTCTTTGTTGTTGTATCTTTCTAGCCGCAATCTGTCATTGTAATCCTCCGCCGTTCTTTCTGCCACACTCAATCTGAAAGAGTAATCCCTCACATTGCCCTCTCTGTTCATTTGAATCTGAGCACAACCTCCACTCTCAATTTTTCCTCCAATCAATTTGAAATCCATATCATCACCGTCTCGCTCTCGCCACTTCCCGACTGTCACCGAGTATCGACGCCACTGGCGACACTACTGTGTACGTTGCTGTCTCGCAACCAATATGTCTATCGTCTTCTCTTTCTTACCAAATCTCGGCCGATCTCCCAAGCTATCATGCATAACGGTCCTCTGGGCAGTTAATTTTGCCGCGAATCCAATTTTTGGATTTTTCTTCGTAAGCTGTAGTAGTTTTGTATGTTGGATTTTATGTTCTGTTCTTTGTAATTTTCCTTTCCAAAGTGAAATCTTTTCAATTGCTTACTTCCATATACCAATGATGTAGTCCAATCCTCAACAATTCCATACCCTATCAAGTTGGAGTCGACAGTGTCTTGGTGGATTAAGGCCCAAGTTCTCTATTGGTCCCCCCTGCGTGTGTTGCAGCAATGCCGACGAAACGGCCTCGCGGCAACACTTCTTATGGCTCAAACAATCCTCCAATGAATTCTATCTCTGCTACCACTCGATGTATATACTCTCTTTGTTCTTAGTATGCTATTTCCTAAAATTAAATGTCATATATACGAACTGAAATAATAGAAGGGTTTTTTTTTTATTTGTGCTTCCAATGTGTCTTTGTTAGGGAAAGGAAGAGCAACTTTTGTCTCCCCTGGAAGTCCGACACTAACTGAAGTTAATGTAGAGAGGGGGCGCCTTGATGGTGGTATGTGAAATTGAATATTGTTTGTAGTGTATTTGAAGTTGCATTTGTCTCTCGGAATTTGGCAGCTATATAAATGAGGAACCTTATTGCCTCGATTGGTCGAAGCGACAAGGATAATGATGGAAAAGAGTAGTTGGGGTGGCTGCGAAGATCTCTAAATTTGGGTGGCGCTGGTTAAATTTTTGTTTCCAAGCGTATCACTTTAGCATGTTAAGTCTGGTAATTTGATCTCATTATTCTAGGGGCAATTGGAAGGTTTGGGTTTTCAAAGACAGCCTCAATCATGATGAATATTCTATTTCTTTATTGGCTGCAACCTCTTCTAAACCAATCATCTAAGGAAGAAAAAACAAAAAAGGAATTACAACCTCTGCATGGGACCTTCCCGGTGAAGTCTGCTCCTTAAACAAGGGATGGGAGAAAGTAAAAATTGGAGAAGCGGTAGGGAAGAAAGGGGAGCAAAGTGTGTAAGACACAAGAAATTCCAATTGGGAATTTAGGGATTGAGAAGAGAAGAATTTAGGGATTTGGAGAATTGGGAAAGAACAAGAGAGAGAGGAGAGATTAGGGATTTGAGAATTTCTGATTATTATTGCTTAATTCCCAAAACTAATGAGTTGTAGCCTTAAGTAACAGTAAACCGAAAATAACATAAATTACAAGTTTGCCATTCTTCCCTCCCCTCTTGGCCGAGTTCGGCCCTCCCACTCTAACCCGTGGTCGGGTTTCCCACATCCCCTCCTCCTTCAGAATCGACATTGGCCTCGAGGTCGAAGTCCAAGAATCTCTGACGAAGCATCTCTGACTCTTCCCAGGTGGCATCTTCCGGTTCCACATGCTTCTACTGCACCAAACTCTCTTCCACCAACCGCCCTCCCTTCTTTGTCCACCGGGTCTCCAACGCCTTGAGAGGAACCAACTCCAAGTCGCCATCTACTGTCACCGGAGGAGCCGTCGAAGTCACCCTGTCCGCTAGGCCCCGGTACCTTTTCAGCAAGGAAATGTGGAACACCGGGTGTATGCGCGAACCTGTAGGTAGCTGCAGCCGATAAGCAACCGGATTGACCTTGTGGACGATCTCGTACGGGCCAAAGTACCTAGCCGCGAGCTTTTGGTATGCCCGCCGGAAAACCGAGGACTGCCGGTAGGGATGCAGCCTCAACAGTACCCAGTCACCCACCTCAAACTCCTCATCCCGCCGCCCTGCATCCTCAGCCTGCTTCATCCGGTTATTCGCTGCAGCCAAATTGGTTCTTAACTGATCCAAAGCCTCATCTCGCGCGCCCAACCACCTGTCCACCGCGTCAACCGAACTCGACCCGCCTCTGTACTGCACCAATGTCGGGGGCGGTCTCCCATATAAAGCCTCGAACGGGGTCATTTTTATGGACCGATGAAACGTGGTGTTATACCACAATTCTGCCCAAGGAAGCATGGCCAGCCACTGCTTCGGCTGCTGATGGGCAAAGCACCTCAGATACTGCTCTAGGTGCTTGTTAACGATCTCCATCTGTCCATCGGTCTGAGGATGGTAGGCCGAGCTCATGCGTAAAACCATCCGTGCCATCGCAAAGACCTCCTGCCAAAACCTGCTCAAGAAAACCGGGTCGCGATCACTAATAATAGACCTTGGAAATCCATTATGTCTCACCACTCCCAATACAAACAGCTCGGCCACAGACTTCGCAGTGTACGGATGCGCCAACGGCATAAAATGAGCATACTTAGTGAGCTGAGCCACTACCATGAACAACACCGTCTTCCCACCAGAGGGAGGTAATCCCACGTTGAAATCCATGCTAATGTCCTCCCATACCCGTTCCAGCACCGGCATCGGCTGAAGAAGCCCAGCGGGTCGCAGGTGAGACAACTTCACTCTCTGGCACGTATCGCATGACTCCACATAGGCTTTCACAGCCTGTGCCATCCGAGGCCAGTAAAAATGGCCTCTAATCCGGCGAAGTGTCCTCTCGGCGCCTAAATGACCTCCCAATGGAGAGTCATGAAACTCTTGCAGTACTGAGGTGACCAGGTTCGAGCCGGGAGGAAGAGCCACTCGACCCCAATCCCTGTCGAAATAGATAATGCCCCGGGTTGTCGCTCACTGCGATTTCCCGGCAATCCTGTAAATACTGGCTGGTCTCCATGGATGCCCGTAACTCATCCCAAAACTGCGGAACTGGCCCTGACACTGCAGCGAGAACCTCGCTGCCCGGTCTCCTCGATAACCCATCCGCCACCACATTAGTGGGCCCGGGGCGATAATGGATCTCATAGTCGTAGCCTAGCAGCTTCGACACCCACTTATGTTGATCCGGTGTGGACACCCGCTACTCGAGGAGGTGCTTCAAGCGCTGGTGGTCGGTGTAGATGTGAAATTTCTGACCCAGGAGGTACGGTCGCCATGTCTGTACTGCAGTAATGATCGCCTGCATTTCCTTCTCGTACGGTGACGAAGCCTCTTTGGAGGGCGCCAGCGTCTTACTCATAAAGGCAATGGGGTGGCGGTCCTGAGATAACACCGCCCCGATCCCCCTGCCTGATTCATCCGCCTCAATAACAAATGGCTTGGAAAAGTCCGGCATTGCGAGAGTCGGAGTGGTCGTCATCGCCTGTTTGAGACGCTGAAATGCAGCCTCCGCCGCCGGTGACCAGGCAAACCCCCCTTTCTTCAATAGATCTGTCAATGGACGGGCGATCATGTTGTACCCCTGCACAAACTTCTGATAATAACCTGTCAGACCCAGAAAGCCCCGCAACTCAGTCACCTTCGTGGGAACCGGCCAGTCCACCATCGCCTGAATCTTGGACTGGTTCACCTTCACACCCTGTGGAGTCACCCTTTTGACCCAAATATTCCACCTCCTATACCCCAAACTCACACTTGGATGCCTTGATATAGTACTGATTCGTCCTCAGTATCTCGAACACCGCCTGCAAGTGCGCCAAGTGATCTGCCCATGAAGGGCTGTAAATCAGGATATCATCGAAGAAAACTAGAACGTACCGACGTAGGAGAGGCCGAAAGATCTTGTTCATGGTCGCCTGGAAGGTGGAGGGCGCATTACACAACCCAAATGGCATCACCAGGTACTCATAGTGCCCGTTATGAGTGCGAAATGCTGTCTTATGGACGTCCTCTTCCTGCATCCGGATCTGGTGATACCCCGCCCGCAGATCCAGCTTAGAAAAATAGCGGGACCCATGAAGCTCATCGAGCATATCGTCACTATTGGAATGGGAAAGCGATCCTTCACTATGGCCTCATTCAGAGCCCGATAATCAGTGCAGAAGCGCGAGGTCCCATCCTTCTTCCTTACCAGCAAAACAGGCGACGAGAACGGGCTAGTGCTCGGTCTGATCAAGCCCGTGGTCAGCATCTCAGAGACCTGTCTCTCAATTTCCTCCTTCTGCGAATGCCCATTTATGTACGGTCTCACATTCACCGCCTCCACTCCATCCTTTAGCTGAATCTGATGATCAACCAGTCGGTGAGGAGGTAAGGCGGTGGGAGTTTCGAACAAATCCGAGTAGTGTCCGAGCAACTCCTGAAGCTCCGGATGGAGCACCGGTGGCGCCCCCTCCTCGATCGGCCAACACAGAATGGCCAACTCGGCCTCGCCTCCCGGACTGCATTCCTCGAACGAGATGGGTCCTACAGCAGTGGTGAGGCCCTGCAAATTCCACTCCTTATCCCTCCATTTGAAACGCATGGTCAACCGCTGCCAATCACTAGTCACGAGACCCAGACTCTGCAGCCACGGAATCCCCAAAATGATGTCGAATCCCCTGATTGGCAGTACATACAG